TACAGCTTCTAAAGAATTTAAACTGCTTCCATATAAATAGCGGATGCGATTGCTCCTCACTAGTTTTCCAGTGTTTGACTTAAAAATCAGGTCATCTGTAAGCTGTGGGAGAGAACACGTTTGGACCAAAGCTAGTCATTAACATTAAGCATGTGTGCAGGGAAGGTTATTAAAGTTAATGGTCAATGATTCTTACACTAAATATTCAAAGTTTTGCTGGAACAGAAGGAGCTTGGTATCAGCACAGCAAGCGCAAACCCAGTGCTGTCTCGTCTCCGATTCTGTAATGTCCGCTGCAGCGCTATGCATCTTTCGTATAATACATTTTTGTTTCATATAAATTTTTTACCAAATGATGAATCTATCCCTGTATGACAAAATGATCTAAGCATATACTGACTGTAGGTGCTTTGGATAATTTAACATTGTTTCATCGCCCAACCTTCTTCGAATATTTTAGGAATGCCACCGGACGCAGAAGTGGTCTTCCGGTCCAGTAATTGCAATGCGTTTCGTTATATGAAAGGTATCGGTGTTTAGTTGTTGTCTCACAAATTTAAAACGTCGTATAATTAGTCCATTCAGTTGCTCATCTCCTGCAGTCTAATATTCGAAGCATTACGTCAGTGGTTGTTGCCTTTGTCCTGCATTTATTGACTTATGCGTACTGAAATTGGCTGGGCTATCGCTAATATAAGAAGAAATTTGAATCATTTGACACAAACACATGCAGTATGATGCTTGAGTTGTCGTTGCAGGTATGTTTTATCTGTGCATATATATGGCTATAATTCTATATATTTAATAATTGTAGATCGTGACGATCTTACTTCTCTAAATAATCTACTGATCACTATGTTGGTTCTACTGATTTTGTCTGCTAGATACGAGCAATTCTGTGCTTCTGTGCACTCTTCTTCTCCATTCCCATGTATGTATATATAAATCTGTTAAGCTACATTAAGTTAAGATGTGCATTGCTCCTTCTGCTCCTCCTTACGTTTGTTCTCAGCATTGTTATCTGTTGAAAAAGATGTTTGACAGTAAAGCGGGCAGTCCCCAATCAGTCGGTGTAAATTTATGAACTGCTTGTCATCAGCAATCATGAGCATGCTGTCCACTGACCTCATTTGTTTTTATTTCACATCTGTTGGAGGGAGTTGGCTATTTTGATTCCTAGCATCTGTTTTATGCCTTGTGATTGCAACGTTTTACATGGCGCATGCATTAAGGGCTGTTTTCGAATTGTTGAAAGCTGTTCTGCTAATATAAAATGC